CCTCAAGGAGTCTCTTGGCATATGCGCGCAGGGTAAACACGCAGCCTGAAAGCTAACTAAGGTGACAATACAAAGAGCTGTGCCTTGTCTTTGTTCTCAGACGCTTCCTCTCCAAAGGTACCCTGCCCATCTTGCTGGGTTTCCCTAGCCACTCTGGGTGGCTTACAACATATCTAGAAATATAATAAAAACATCATTCCTTAAAAACTTCCCTAAACTGGACTGCCTTCAGATGTCTTCTAAAAGTCAGGAAGTTGTTTATTTCCTTGACATCTGAAGGCAGGTTGTTCCACAGGGAGGGGGCCACTACTGAAAAGGCCCTCTGTCATGTTCCCTGTGATCTTGCATGAAACCCCCCCCCCAAAAAAAACACATTTTTGAGGCTATGATCTTGTGTGGCACCCCAAATTGCATGTTTCTGGACGCTACACCCTTGAAATGTGTTGTTTTGTTTGTGGGGGGATGAGCTGCAGTGTGCAATCAAAATGGTCGCAATCCTCACGCAATAAAAAATGGGAAGATGGCATCTGGGAAAATGGCGTCCTGGAATTTGGCTTCAAAATGTTGGAGGGTATGGGTGAAAGGACGGCCTAGGAAGCTTGGAGGTTTGTCTCTCTATATGCTTTCTCCCCATGCGGACTCAACAGCCTCCAGTACAAGCTGAGTTGCATTCCCACGCTTGCAACACACCCTGTGTTCATTCACACGAAGCCGTAGTTTGACTTAGCATTATGTTCTTAATTTGGAGTGCGCACAATAACATCAGAAGAGCCCTGCTGGATCAGACCAAAGGTTTCTCTCATCTAGTATCCTGTTCTCACAGTGGCCAACCCAATACCTATGGGTTGTCTTCAAGTTCCTTGTTCATCTGTTTATGGGCATGAACCAGCTTTTTAAGGACACGAAAGGTCCTTGCGCCAACGTGTCTTGTGCTCAGACAAAGTCTTGAGCCGGATGAGACTGTGGGCGAGAAGATTATGACAGTGGCAGTTAACATAAACAGCAGTTCAGGCTGATGCAGCAAAGGAAAATTACAAGATTAGTTTCAAACATGTTGGGTTTTTCTAATTGCTGTTGTACCGATAAGAAAGAGAGACAGATTGCCTTGCTGACATGTTTAAACGTTCGAAAAACTAATTTAGAAAGAAAAGGAGGTACTCGCCCCCAAATATGGAGATTATGGGTTGTATTGAACTAAGTGTTACTCAGAGTAGACTCACTGAAATTAGATGACCTAAGTTATTCGTGCCCACGAATATCTATACCACGAGTATTATTAGTATTAGTTTGTAATTGCTTTATACTTCACACTTTCCTGCAAAGGAGCCCAGGGTGGAAACCATATCAATACGGATGCAATTAAAACCACTAAAAAAAAGTTTAAACCTAAAATTAATGACTTGCTCTCAAGCTAGTAATTTCAGGGTTTCCATGCATAGAACTTTCAGCCATCAAATGCCTGGGTAACAGGAATGGTCCCATGCTGGGAGACTGAGGCACCTCACTAGGGAGGGCATTCCACCAATGTGGGGGATACCACCAAGAAGACCGTTTCACAGCCAACCAGGCAACCCCCAGTGGAGCCACCACCAACAGGGCCTCTGTATGGCCAACATTGACCACAACCCATTGCACTGTCAAGGGGTAGCTACTTTTCAGCCATTTCCAATAGCAATCAACAATGAAAAAAAACTGATTCCGCATCAAAGTGGACATTCAAAGTGGACATTCATTTCAGTAAGTAGGCCAGTCCAGGTGTGGGCAGGCAGATGGTTGGGATCTAGTGTTAGATCCCTGGGCAATTTGTGGTATATCTGCAAGTTTTTTCACTCCAGTGACCCCTGCAAACTAGGCTACTGAAATGAAGAAAGTTTGTGAGGAGGAGCAGAAAGTGAGGAGTGCATTTTTCAGAAACTGTTAACAGATTTGAGCCATGTATTTGAGCCACATGTTCAAAAGCACCTTATTTATTTATTTATATTTAGGAAAATGCACAGAGCACTTAACCAACCCCCTCTTAAGCTGTCTAATTACCAGCTAAAATTCTAGGGATGTGTCTTTCCTCCTGAACTCCAGTTGAGGTAGACTTTGAGGTTTTAGTAGACCCTGTAAGTCGCACTTGTTCACTAGTCTGATTTCCTCCCCCCCCCCCCGAAAATAATTTCAGCCTTATTTTTGTGGTGACCTAGTTTTACCTCACAAATATATGCAGCTTTCCACTGTGGCTCCTGCAGTCTAGTATTTGCCTGCAATCCTGAAATGCCCCCAAATTCTTTTTCCCACGTATCGCTTGTTGTCTCAGAATAATGACGATGAGATAAAAACCTCTTCACTTAAGTTCTTAGGTAGCTCTGCATTTTAAAGTCTAGAAGTTAAGAGTGCTACACCCAGGTTTTTGCAGCATGAATGGAGATAAGCATGAATGATGGATGAGTGGTTTTTCATTTGTTGGAAGTCTAGTTAGAATTGCCTCAGAGTGTTCTGTTTATATAGGCTGAACACGCACCAAACATTTAGAACAAAACACTATTGTGAATGGTCCTCCTTGCAATCCATGGCGTACATGTTTAGAAAATTGTGGCGATTTTCTTGAGCTGCTATTGCGAATCTGGCCACTTTGTTTGTATTGTAGCCTGAAGGAGCATCTCCACCCCCATCGTTCAGCCTGAATACTGAGGTCCAGCTCTAAGGGCCTTCTGGCAGTTCCTTCACTGCAAGAACTGAGGTTACAGGGAACCAGGCAAAGGGCCTTCTCGGTAGTGGCGCCCGCCCTGTGGAACGCCCTCCCATCAGATGTCAAGGAAGTAAACAACTATATGTGAGGGCAGCCCTGTATGTTGTGGTTTAGTCGTGTCCAACTCTTCGTGACCCCATGGACCAGAGCACGCCAGGCACTCCTGTCTTCCACTGCCTCCCGCAGTTTGGTTAAACTCATGCTGGTAGCTTCGAGAACACTATCCAACCATCTCGTCCTCTGTCGTCCCCTTCTCCTTGTGCCCTTCATCTTTCCCAACATCAGGGTCTTTTCCAGGGAGTCTTCTCTTCTCATGAGGTGGCCAAAGTATTGGAGCCTCAGCTTCACGATCTGTCCTTCCAGTGAGCACTCAGGGCTGATTTCCTTCTGTCGGCATGCAGAGGGCTGCAAGGCCAGCTGGCCAGCCCCAGCTGGGTCCTCTCCTTCCAGCCGTCCCGCTGCAAAGACCCATCGCCTCTGCTCCGACGTAAATCAGCGACCTGGGCTTCAAAGCCAGGGCACACTATATCAGCAGAGCAAACTGTGCACACAGAATAGGTGTGAGGCTTGTGGAAGCATACTACAAATATGGATTTATTAATCATAAATCAGGACAAAGAAACATGTCTCTCTCTTTGTCTTTTCGGTGAGAGAGTCAAAAGCAAAAGCAATAACACAGCGGAAGTTCCGCTAACACCAGCAAAACAGTGCTGGAATGTAAACAGACATGTGACCGGTAACAGTTCCATGTCTACTCCTTAACGTGGAATGGAAATTTCCCAACATCCAGTAGATCACAAGTAATATCAGTCAGGCTCCAACCTTCTGTAGAACTCAAAAAGTATCCCCAAAGGCAAGTTCTGAGATTTCTATACAAGGTACAATGCAAAAGGTATCTTCTACTGTATCTTCTACCTCCCCAGTACCCCAAACATGTATATGCTGCATAGTGGAGAATACTGTCATTTCCCTCCAAAGAAGATAAAGGCATTGCTTGGAAATCAGGGGCAGTAAAAGCTTTTCCTGAAGCAAACAAAAGTAAGAGCTATTGAAAATATGGATCCCTCTTCAATAAACTAAATCGAGGGGGAAACGCTTTGAGTTGGCTGGCAAGAACGTCTTCATGAGAATCCACCTCAAAAATTCTGCTTCTAGTTTGTCCTTATGGACTTGGAGAATCTGAGCACCCCCAACGCAAGATGGCGACAATCGTAACCAATGAAGGACCCATCTGTCAGCATCGCCCTTGAGCCAGTGCCACCAACTGGACTCATCCACTTCAGCCCCGACTGGGCTAGGCGAGCTGGGTAGCACTTCCAGAGACCACCTTCTGCACAGGAACAGGTCAAAGTGCTGTGGACTCACAGCTTAGAGTTGTGAGCACCGGATTCACTTCCACAAGAAGACAGTCGTCGCACAGCAGACTATAGCAAAGTACAGCAGAGCATAAACGACTCAGAGAGCAGCTCTGTAGAATATCTTCTTTATTCTATCTACAACTATAATACACAACTATATACAGAGCTAAATGAGGTCTAAACGAAAAATGCTGAACTGCACTGAGTGTCTGCAGCTGCTCTTAGCAGCAACCTTATCTATACACATGATCTCTCTCTAACACTCAGTCTCTCTCTCTGATGTGAGGCTGGAGCGGAATAAGTAGAGAGCAGAAACCGCCCCCTCCTCTCTGGAGAATCAGCAGAGAACATCAGCAGATTCTTGGATACGGGAGGGGTGAAATCTCCTCACCATTCACCCGTGGCAAGTTGTTCAATGAATTGGTGTGTCGATATATTGATAAACAGAGGGTATCTATAGGTATACAGAGGAGGCTAAGTTGCTGAACTGCTTAATATTATGCCCATTTCATTCATAGGCAAGTTAAGCATGGTTAGCCCTGCAATGTTGGTAGGCCTGGCCCCAAAAGAAATGACCTGAAAGAGGCCCCTCTGCATATACAGGTAGCTATCAAGCGTTTGGGAAGTGCAGGTAAAGGTAAAGGACCCCTGGACGGTTAAGTCCAGTCAAAGGTGACTACAGGGTTGCGGTGCTCACCTCGCTTTCAGGCTGAGGGAACCGGTGTTTGTCCATAGACAGCTTTCCGGGTAATGTGGCCAGCATGACTAAACCGCTTCTGGCACAATGGAACACCGTGACAGAAACACCACTTACCTTCCCCTCCGCAGCAGTATCTATTTATCTACTTGCACCTGTGTGCTTTCGAACTGCTAGGTTGGCAGGAGCTGGGACAGAGCAATGGGAGCTCACTCCATTGCGGGGATTCGAACCGCAACCCACAACCTTGAGATCAAGAGTCTCATGCTCTGCCGACTGAGATATCCCAGGGAATAGATTTTGTAACCCTTCCAGCAGAATTCACTTCAGATCTACAAATAGTTGGGGACAGGGGGGACATGGAGATGTACAGCACCCCAAAAAGGTGCCTTGCATCCAGCACTTGAATGCACACCACCCAGTGTGTACATGCCCTTGGAAATACATGTGGCATTTATATTTGTATTTACAAAGTGTGCTGTAGAAAGCCTCTTCTGTTTTCTCTACTGCAGAAAGAGATGGCTTTGTCTATTAAAGGCATTTTCCAACCCCCAGAAGATTTGTAGGATCCCCCCCCCCTATATTATCCAGAAAGAGCAGCCTCCCACTTCCTTTCGCTCTCTAGAACATGCAGTGTGCTCCATTCGGAGACGTCTGAATCTTCCCATCAATAAGTTGCTTTATCTCCTTGGCTTTTGGAGATAAAACCAACATCATTAGAGCTAATCTACACATCTGTGTGGAGGAAGGTATCTCCGGCCATATAGAAACCAGGGGGAACTCAAGCACAGCGTGGGTGGGAGGAGACAAGAGCGGCTTCTGGAAACAGAGAATAGAAAACAACTCTCTAATTTGTAGTCCCTAACATTCCTCGCTTTCCCCAGTTGCTTAGGAGAGAGAAGGGAGGAAGAGAGAAGAGATTTGAATCCAAAAAGGAGTGGGAGGTTTTAAACAGGATCCCCCACACGAGGGAGAATTTATCTCTGCTGGGTCGTGTTCGGAGAATAATTTTACACATTTTATATCATTGCCACTGTTGGTTTCAGGAACCTTCCGAAGTGCTAAGTGTTCATATCTGCCCACCCATCCCTCCTGAGAGAGTAACCACAGAGAAGCACTCAGCACACAGCAGATAAGGATCACCACACTGGATCAGAGTGAGCCAGAGAACAGACTAATTCAGCACTTGTACCGCAAGAGCCTCTATGGGGATTAGAGAGGCCTGAATTCATATCCACACTCGGCTATGAAGCTGATGGGGAGACCTTTGGCTATTCAGTCTATCCTACCATAAAAAACTGGCGTAAGGGTGAAATGAGGTAACACATGAATGCTGCTTTCAGATCCTTGACAGTAGGGTGGGAAACAAATGGGGTGAATGCCTGCAACAAAAGACAAATAAGACAATTAAGACTTAGCAGATAGTTGTTTATTTCCTTGACATCAGATGGGAGGGCGTTCCACAGGGCGGTCACCACTACGGAGAAGGCCCTCTGCCTGGCTCCCTGTAACCTCACTTCTCGCAGGGAGGGAACCGCCAAAAGGCCCTCGGAGCTGGACCTCAGTGTCTGGGCTGAAAGATGGCGGTGTATACTCCTTCAGGTATACTGGGCCAAGGCCATTTAGGGCTTTAAAGGTCAGCACCAAAACGTTGAACACCAAAATGCCTGGTTTATGGAATTCACTCCCACAAAAGGTAGTGGTTATCACCAACTTGGATGCCAATAATAATAATAATAATAATAATAATTTTATACCACCCATCTGACTTGGTTGCCCCAACCACTCTGGGCCGCTTCCAACAAATGAAAACATCAAACACAGCAAAAGATCAAGCATCAAAAACTTCCCTATACAGGGCTGCCTTCTAAAAGTCATATAGTTATTTATCTGTTTGACATCTGATGGGAGACCGCCAGAAGGCCCTCGGTCCTGGACCTCAGTGTCCGGGCTGAACGATGGGGGTGGAGACACTCCTTCAGGTATCATCCTTTAAAAGCTGATTAATGGGGGATAATGATATCAGTGGCTGCTAGTCGCAATGACCATGTTCTACCATGGCTGAACGCCAGTCTCTGGGAAGCACAAATCAGGTCCTGTTTGTGGAATTCCCATAGACCTCTGGTTGACCACTGTGAAAACAGGAAGTTGCTGCATGGACTACTGGCTTCATGGAGAAGGTTCCTATGTTCTTACGTATTCTCATCCAGATAGATTGTTCCATGCACAATAGCAGCTTTTGTAACTGCTTGCCTTTTCACAGAGCAACATGAGGTCAACTGGACCAGGCAGAATTTTGGCGGGTGCTGATATCATGAGCAGAAAGCTTTCTCCCAGGGCTACTGTCCCTGGTCTCATTTTCAAAACAGATGTAAGCAACTTGAACTGGGTGATGAATTTCACAAGGAGGAAAGATGTCATCGTCTTTGATTTGATAATTGGGTGAAATTGCCTGGAGCTTTCAGCCGAATTCTGGAAGGGAGTTGGGGGCGGTGGCGGGGGGGGGGGTTGTGTTAGGAGGAACAGGATTATTAATATTAGCTTGGAAACACGGAGGTAATTGCTGTGCACACGCACAACCCGAATGCTGCCTTGTGTGTGCTCTCTCTCTCTCATGCTAATGGGCCCGGGGCTTGGTCAAGGAATAGGCATTAGAAGACAAGGGACAATTTTGCCTAATCACCCTCTTTGAATGAAATCAGTGTGTGGTTAATCTGCTATTATGAATCCTGGCAAAAGAAGGGGTTCCTAAACAAGAAGGTTTGTTTAATCGCTTGGGCTGGGATCCAAGTCACCGGAGGACACGCAGCGCGCAAACTGCTGCTATTCACTTTGGCGAAAACGCCTTTTCTGCGTCTGAGGAAATAGCTGTGGCTGGCATAAAAATACTTTTGGCAAAGGATTCCTTGGGGGTGGGGAGCAGCAAAGCGTGTGTGCTGAGCAGCTTTCATGACTGCGGCTTTTCACGTACTTTTCAGAATGCGGGAACTTCGAAGAAGCAAGGCCCTGCTGTAATTCTACCAGGGGGAAATAAAACTGGGCTTATTCAGTACCCATGTGGCAGCGATAAGCTGTTCTGTGGCCGTCGTGTGAGGGAACCTGGGCTGGAAAGGCTATGAGGGGAAGCAGCACCAGGGGTGATTTGGAGGGGAGACACAGCCGGTGGGAGGAGGGATGCCAAACCCGTTGTCACCTGCCGTCCACTTCCATCTGTAACTCCCAGCCTGCTGGGGTTAGAGAACCATATTTATATCCACGGGCTGGGAGATCGATGTGGAATATTGAAAAATTAAAAGTAGGAGTATCTACCAAGTAGGCAATGTTTAATGCTTGAGAACTACCCACCCACTGAAAGGGTAATCTCACACCTTCTTTCTTATCTTTTAGGCTCCAGGCAAAGTCTGTCTTGCTTACTCAAAGTTGTTTTTTGGGGGGTGGAATTAATTTGATTAACTGCATTGTCTGTTTTTTTTAAAAAAAACATTCTGTTCTTTTCTTGCTTTGTCTTATTGGTTCAGTTTCCTAGCTGCTGGTGTTATTTCATTTTGTTCCAATTTAGTATGTGCTTTTGGCAGGGGGGCTATCCTTGTCCGTTTTAATAATTGTTTAGATCAGGGGTAGGAATTGTTTAGGCCTTGTGAAATGGACTTCATTTTCTTTCAACCAGAATCTCCAAATCCACCAGCTCGAGTCTGTTGCAAAAGCCATACACTTAAGAACTTAAAAGTTCTGAGCCCAGGAAATGGATTAACAGAATTGTGTGGAGTCTTGAACCTCTTGTACACACACCAACCAGCACCTTATTCCTTGTTACCCGAAACTCACTTCATTTTAGCAGTGTCCCAGGTTTGATCCATGACATCTCCTGGTAAGTCTGGGAGAGACTCCCATCTTAGACCCAGTATAGTCAGTCTAGACAATACTGAGTTGGATGGACCAAAATAATAATAATAATAATAATAATAATTAATAATTTATACCCCACCCATCTGGCTGGGTTTCCCTAGCCACTTTCGGCGGCTTCCAACAAAATATTAAAAATAGAATAAAACATCAAATATTAAAAGCTTCCCTAAACAGGGCTGCCTTCAGATGTCTTCTAAAAGTCAGATAGTTGTTTGTTTCCTTGATATCTGATGGGAGGGCGTTTCACTGGGCAGATGCCACCACCGAGAAGGCCCTCTGCCTGGTTCCCTGTAACCTCACTTCTCGCAGTGAGGGAACCGCTAGAAGACCCTTGGTGCTGGACCTCAGTGTCTGGGCTGAACAATGGGGGTGGAGATGCTCCTTCAGGTATATTGGGCCGAGGCCACTTTTTCACCATAGGTAGCTTCTTACCTCCCTATGATGATTCAGCTTTTGGGTGGAGATACCCCAGGTATTGCAGACCACTCAGCATCACCCAAAATAGCTTTGCCAGGTAAGCCTTCACAAAGATAAGGTGACGAGATCATTTCTACTCAAGAAAGGAGAGTTGGTTGGTCCCAGCAAATTTATACACCGGAACTGGCATTTGGTTTTCTTCTTGGCTTTGGAATTGTATGAAACTTCCAACACAGGACTTTCTTCTCTCCCTGTCCATCATGTTCGTCACACTCATCCTTCCTTGCCATTTCTCCAAGCTTCCTCACTTTTGCTACATCCTCTGATTCACTCCAAGGTTGTCATTTTCAGATACGTCGAGTGTTTGACGCACTTTGCACAAACACTTCCTCCCCAAAGCGAACATTGGCAGCAGGCATAGGTTTTTCTGGAGACAGCATCCATTCATGTGCTTGGAAGGTAAATGTGATATTTATGCTCAGATGCTGTGGCTATTAGCATGTGCTCAACCTCCTCTTCCTGTTTTTGTAAAAAAATAATATTAATTTTTTAAAAAACAAAACCCCCCAAAAACTGCTTCATGTGTGGTTTAAATTCTCAAAATTAGATCATGTGTCCTCCTGGCAGACTGCACTCTTGAGAGCATTTGTACCCAGTTGCAAACTTAGCTCCTTTTCATAAAAGGTAAAGGGTAAAGGGACCCCTGACCATTAGGTCCAGTCGTGACCGACTTTGGGGTTGCGGCGTTCATCTCGCTTTACTGGCCGAGGGAACCGGCGTACAGCTTCCGGGTCATGTGGCCAGCATGACTAAGCCGCTTCTGGCGAACCAGAGCAGCGCATGGAAAGGCCGTTTACCTTCCCGCCAGAGCGGTACCTATTTATCTACTTGCACTTTGACGTGCTTTCAAACTGCTAGGTTGGCAGGAGCAGGTACTGAGCAACGGGAGCTCACCCCGTCGCAGGGATT